CAAAATAAATTAATAGATTTATAAATTGTAGTTATATTTCTTGAACATATTTTTTTAAATTAAATTGATAGGCTCTTAGTAAAAAAAAATAATAACTTTATAGCAAAGAGACTAGTACGAAAAAATAGATGTAATTCTGATTCTTTCATTTACAAAAAAAAAGGAAAAATACAAATATTAATTAAAATGGAAACGCTTCAAAGCTATTTTAATATTATATTCTAAAATTCTACCTCAGATACAAATAAAAGTACTAGAAGTTTAATGATCATCTTCAAATCATAAATTAATTTTGAATAAAAAAATAGTTTAATTTATGTTTTAAAAATTTGATATAATAAAATAATATAAATTCATAAGAATTGAAATGTAATTTGCTAATTAGGTGTGAAATTGACTTTTATTATATTTTAGCAACATTTTAAAAGGAAAAATAGCTAAATAATTTCATGAAGGATTATATTTTTAATATTCCTTGTTAATTTTTATTTTCATGTAAGTAAAATAATATCCTTTTGATATAGGAATTATTATTAATTTAGCAGGTAAAGAGGACGCTAAATGACTTTTAAATATTATTTTAATTAATTGCCATAAATCTAATGTAATTATGATGTAGGATTCCGGGTAATTAAAATTAAAGTTACTAAAAGTACCTTCCTTTTGGTGATAATCATATTTAATATAAACTAGACAGTTTCTAAAAATGAATACGGATCAAATTAATGATTATTCAAATGTGTATAATTTATTATTTGATTCTATTTCTTTTTTAATAGGTCTAATATAATCATTAGGAAACATTAAAACATTTTATTTTTAATTTAGCAGCAATGTGTTTTTTCCAACACCATGTTATTTTTTTTAACCTTAAATCATTTTTAGAATGCCATTTTTTTAAATTTAAAAATCTGATTTTATTACAAATGTATTCTAGCATGTTTAGAATACCTATTTTATGAATTGTAGATAATTTTTCCGTTAACCTTTGAATCATTTATAGTTTATATAAAAAATCTATGGAAAAATTAATTTAAATTATATTAAGTTCAAAGGTTCATGACAAAATTGCCTGAAATTCATTCGGTAGTTATTTCAACAATGATGAGTTAAATTTCTGGTAAAATAAAAATTTTTAATTAAAAATATACAAACTTATCACATTGTAGATAAAAACACATTACCGTCATACATTAATTTTATTAAAATGTGATAAAATAATTAAAAATATAAATGTATGCTTGATATAAATATTCTAGTCTGGATATCATTGGTTTCTTATATTAGATACAACAACTAAAATTTTATTATTTTTAATTTATGTTTTTTTTTAACTGAAGATACTTTCATTTTTCATCCTTGATATATATAAAAAACATGATTTAACATGGAGCATAGATGTTTATGTTTACAATTCATTATAGTTGGATAATGGCGAAAAAACAGATAATTCGGTTCAACACTTATGGGTATACCAAAACAAGATCCGACAAAGATTGAGGCATGCGAGTTATTTTACTTATGTTTTTTTAAAATGAGTTATATTTACACTAAAAACCCCAAGGCTAGGGAAATTACAACTATAATCGATTACTTCTTTAATTTTTTGATATTGTATTTTAAATTAGTTGAATAGCACAATATTTTTATAAAACTACCGTTTTGTTAAAAATTATCCTTTTTTTTTGAAACTCAAAAATGTTTATATAAAAAAATATTTAATCACTGATCTAAACAATAATAGGTTATTAAGTTTTCTTTCAATTTAAAAATAAAAATTTTCGTTGGACAAAAAAAACACAAGAAATAAATATATTTAGTTTCTGGATAAATACTGGGTTAGATTGGCTAAAATGAATGATTTTGCATCACTAGAACCAACCATATTTCCCTACGATCTTATAAATGATATGGAACCGCAAAAATAAGGCCTGTCTGATATACTGCACCAGGTACCGGATTCAAACCCAAGAAACAACCTGTCAGTTTAGATGGAAGTAAAGTTGAAGTGTTGGAAAGACATTGGGTCTTGTCTTTTAAAACATAAATCCTTTATAGCGCAGATTGTTTGATCCTGAAAGATTTGATGTCAGAATCATATTTATTTTTGTCAAATTAATTTATTTAAAAACGTTTCAATATAAGAATAAGATAGACAATATAAAATACATCAAAATAAAAATATATTTTAAAAAAAAAGAAAATAATTAAGAAACTATATTAAAAAATAAATAATTTATAATGTAAAAAATAAGTGTATGAAAAACATGTAACTACTCTGTAAATATCAAACAATTTTGTCTTTGAACATAATTTATATTAAGGATTTTTAAATTAATGTATTTAAAATGTATAATGAAAAAGCTAGAATACATTTCCTATTACAATCAGGTATTTTGAAATTAAAATGTTCACTGAAGTTAATTTAAGTTTTTAAAATTTGCTCAAACCCCGGTCTATGAAGAATTTTAATTGGTTAAATTCCTAAAACATACTTATATTTTAAAAAAATGCATTTTATATTTAAACACACATTCTGTTATCTATAACCATTTTATTCTTGGCTTAGAATAAATTTCTAAGATTTTGGAGTATAAACTTATTCGCAAAAATTTCATGTAAATAATTTGAGAGAATTTTTTTCTATTTAATAAAATTGGAAAAGATTTTCTCGTAAATTTCTTGCAATAAATTTTTTTATAGATTATTTGGCATTGAATCTTAATAAAAAAAATAACCTAATTTAAAAAATGGTCATTCTGAAATTCAAAATTTTTTGTCGAAAAGGTTTGAAGAGGTTTGTGGAACTCTGATTTTCAAATATCTACGTATTAAATATAAAAATAGTTAGAAACATAATTCTATTATAACTGCCAAAATTATCAATAGAGTACTTATAAGTTACTTTTTTTAATCAGTTATGAGTGAGTTAGTTGATCGGTTATTTTAAAAAAAAATTATATATGACATAGGTATTGTATATATACTAATAATTTGTCATTTAGAAAAGAATGTTAAATGATTCTCAAACATTAATTTTAATTATATTCCAAATTTTAAATATTAACTATGACTGTAATGATAATTCTGCTAATGATAATTATTTATATTATTCATGGTCACCCTCAAAATGAATTAATTTTATTATTGATTTTCAATCGAGGGAAATTTTGGCATTAAAAAATAAATTGAATTTTCGCTAAATGATTGTTAACATCTCGTAGATATTCATTGATAGAGCTTGGAAATGTAAATTTTTTACAATCTAAATTTTGTTCTTTGTTAATAAAGTTTTTTTTTTGTTGATATAATGCAAAATATTAATGTTTTAAATTTTTAAAATAAATATCTCTTTATAACATTACTAACATTGAATATGAAATATTTCGCCTCAATATTCATAACAATTTTAATAAGTAAAAAGTGTTTATACATAATAAATTCTAACTCTACATTTTTATTAATTTTTAGTTTCCCAAATAAATATTTCATCAGCAGCTCCAAGGAAAAATCCAAAGGGTAAATTTTATTTAAATATTTTAAATTTTCTAATTTTTTGTTGTTGTTTTTTCGTTTTGTGATCAAGTAATATGGTAGCTTCTTTCACAATCTGAAAATCATACTTCACTCTGTCATATTAATATTCAAATTTATTTGCCTTAATACGCCTTGCTTATAATTTTAAACTTTTATTAGGGTATGTTTCTGATATCGTTTAAATCATCAATTTTGCCTATTTATTAAAAACTGCCTAAATTAAAATTTTTGTTAAAAATGATAATATCTGAGCTTCGAGATTGTGCCAGAATAAAGCCAAATCTTTTCCCATTTTTTTTTGTTAAATTTCAAATTTGGCTAATCTTAATTTTAACGTTTTTGGACAAAAAAATTATTGGGTTGAATTATTAATGAATTCTGATGACAGAAATGATTGGTTAATTATCCTTTAAAATTTCGAAATTTTTATGAAAATATTTTTTTAAACTAGACAGTAGTAGCCTGATCAAATTACCTTAACACCCTCTAAGAATTTTGAACAGTAAAGTCACATAAAAATGATCTAATCATAGGAAAATTAGTTACGCCCATGATTTAACAATTTAAGGCGGAAATGAGAATCCTTGGAATAGAGACATACCTTATTTAACTTATAGTCCAACTAATCACTTTTTTAAACCGGGCATAATATAAGGTCATTGATTCCATTGGATATTTTTGACTTCTAAATCATTTGTGACAAACTGAGGCCTTGTAGTGTGTGTGGGAGGGTTGGGGGGGGGTAAAAGGGTGGTGGGTATTATCCTGCTGAAATATTAAAATAGCATCTTTTTTGGTTATTAATATAAATTTATATAAAATTCTTAATAAAACACTTATGTAGAATTTTGAAGGCCCTTTTAAAAAGTCACATATTTAAAGCATTCCTTTAGCCTTCATATCACAAAAATTATGTGTATTCAAGCTCAAATTTGCTATCACAGAATTATCTGCATCCATTTAGAATAATCCCAAGATTAATCTTTGCCACATTTTAGTCCTTTATTTTTGCTTTTGCTGGAATGTCAACATGGGCGTTTTCTTTAACATCAAAATGGCAGAATTAGATAAAGATTTTTAATGACAGAATTTGATAAAGATTTTTAAAATATTAAATACATCTTATAAAATAAAACTATAAAATAAATTTTTCAATTTCAAGCATTAATAATAAAAGGATTTATTTTGAGCAATGAAAATTTCATATGAATGTAATAGAATTAGTATACATTTAATATTTATTTTCCATCAATAAATTTTTCGAAAAATATTAAATTTCGTTGGGATTTATTTTTCTTCTACCAGAAATTGTAACTTAAAGATTTTGGATCTACAAGAATAGTTTCAAGACTAATCATCAATATTCCAAAAAATGTCATATGGATCCCATCTTTCTGAAATCTTAAAATTTTGGTTATTGTTATTCAAAGGAGTTGGATAACCGCACATTCATTAAATCTAAATGTAACTTTAAATATTTTATGCACTAACAATAGCAAACGATAATATTGCGTATCAAAACGAAAGAAACCTTTAAATTTGAAAGTTCGTAAATTTAAGTTAGTAGCGATCAATATGAATTAATGTTAAAGTAACTTTTAGTTATTTATATTCTTTACGATATATTAGGGACATCAGTCATTCCTTTAAATCCATTCACGATCCCGTTGCAAGCCATAAAAATAATCAAAATAGCTCCAAATCTTTGCAAAAATAATAAAATTACTCCAAAATGTAAACCGTGCGAAACAATAGCTCTCTGTGAACCTCCTAGCGCAGAAGTATTCTGTACTCCTGATCCTTGTGGAGGCCTTTGTAACGCTTTTTACAGATCAGCCGAAACCAATAAGCCTATAAGATGCATTCCTTTCCTTTAATTAACTATTCATTAATGCTGTAATTTTTCATAAAATATTTATTTTTGCCATTTCTTATAATGCGTAATATATTTATCATGTTATTAATAATAAATATGTTTTTTAGTTTGTTAGATAATAATATATCTCAATTTAAAATGTTAGATAGCTGGTTCATATAAGACATTTTAACTTGATAACACAAAAAATTTTTTTAACAATATTATATTAATTTGAATTGAATAAACAATATAATAATAGTAAAGGGTAATGATGGTTGCCATGTCTACTGACTATTAATATTATTACAATTTTTTTTAAAATTGAAATCTACCACACAATTGAGCTACTACCTACTACCATTTTTGAAACTACTGATATATACCACAAAATCTTTTATTTAAAAAAAATATAATAACTGGTATTAAAATCCTCCTAACTTTTATTCTTTTTTCATTTTTGGGTTGGTTTTATTTATCGATAGGAACAATTGATCGTGATGTTTAGTTTTATGAAGTAAATCTTTGGATTCTATTATTGGTTATAATAACCGATTCCGTGAGATTACTATGAACATATGTCCAATTCTAGCTTTACTCATTGATGGGGGAGGGGGGTAGACAAAAATTTTGGAGGAAGAGTTAAAAAAAAATTTTCAACACCATAGAAAGAATATCTGTGAGTTAATTGAAAACAAAATTGAAATATAAGTTTTTATTTGAAAAATAACCATATATAAAAATATACAAAAAATATAATTATGATCAAATATATCTATAAAATTAGATGGAAGATGATTATTGACTTATAACTAGAAAGAAATATTATATAACGTTGATAGAGTTTAATTGTGCTTGTATAATAATTGTTATGGATGCAATCATAAAATATATGTAATTAAGGAAATATTTATATATATATTTATATTACAGTGATATTATGGAAAATAATTAATATAAAGTATTAACAATATAATTTTGGTTGAGATGTATTTTTAAATTCTTTGGAAACATTTCTAAAATTATTAGTTTCTATTTTTTTCCCTATTAACAATATAATTTTGGTTGAGATGTATTTTTAAATTCTTTGGAAACATTCTAAAATTATTAGTTTCTATTTTTTTCCCATTTCTACTAAATTCAAGTTACTCATTCTTATATTTAATAATTCTCTTTAATAACGAAAAAGTTTACTCACAACTCGTAGTGGTTTGGAAATGCATTTTTAGAGGTACAGAAATCTGACAAAATCTGATGTAACACAATATAATTATCTCAATTTCAATTACTAATCACTCTTCAGTATTATTGTTTATAAAGGTTTTCATTTTTTATGTCTATAAAATTAAAATTGTCATCTTGATTTAAATTTTTTTTTAAATTAGTTAATTGGTTTTTTATTTAAAAAATTACAAATCTTTTAGTCTTTGAATGCTCTTCTTCTATGTATTCTGCAATTATAATATAATGTTTTTCAAGGCCATTTTATTTAAGAACTTTCTTCTTGTAAAATTTTAGTATAGGTTGATTCACCATTGTTTAAGTTATGGATCTTACAAGGAAGGTAAGATCCTATTCGTATTTATAAGACTTAGACTTTAAAGTAAATCTTTTTTCATTATTAGTAACAGTCTTTTTGAGTGATGTTACATTGGCATATTTGGTAATACCTGATTTTAATCTGTAAAATATTTGCAATACTAAATAATCCAACCACTCCATTTTTTTTTGAAAGCTCTGGCTTATTTTCCTTATTCTGGATCTTGGCAACATGGTCCTTTTTACCTTCATCCACCAAATTAGCTATATTTACATTTTCTCCTTGTTCCTCTTAGCCTATAAATTAAATTTCTCCTTTTAACTGACAAAGGTTAAGAAAACAGATAAAAAAAAATTTGCTACAAAAATCTCCCAAAATCGAATAATTTTGCTTAGCAACCCTGATGATGAATAGTATTGAACATTAATTTTTATCTGTTTTATTGAAATATTAGATAGCATCATAATTTTATCCTTATATACAATATAATATGTTGTTTTTGATTGGTATCTGTGGTCAATTAGGTATTTGAGGATATCATTAAATAGTTCTGGGTTCGAATCCAGTAAGGACCAGATTCTTTCTGAAAACAACTAGGTAGATCCGTGCTCTGATGGAGGATATGGAAAATATTGGAGGCCACCGTGTGATCCCTTTAACATAAAAATAATAGAAAATAAATGGATCCTATTGCATTTTATTATAACTTGGTCATTATTTAACAAATTATTATATGACAACCAACGATATATATAATTACCCAATGATCATCATGTAAATAATATAAGTATCGAAAACGCCGCCGTTTAAGAAAATCACGCCAGCGCGCATGGCCGGCTCAGAAATCTCTTTCATATTTCATACCTTTTTATTCTAATAATTGGTCATCATCACTATTGTAATTTCTTAGTGTCAATCAGGATTTTGATGAATTTTTATTTTCGACTATTTTAAAATCATAATTATATTGACTTCATTATAGAATTCAATCAATCTAAAATTTGAAAAGTTACCATAATTTTACATATTTTTAAAATGGATGCATCTACATTTAATAATTCTATAAATAATTTTAGTATCCTAACTCTGGATAATATAGTCTGGAAATTTTTTTGCAAAAGAATTAGAGAAATTATTACTGCTCTAAGATATAAAACTGCAGAGGTTGAAATTGAATTCGAGGAAGATCAAAAAAATATCTAAGTAAAATAAATTTAACATCAGACATGTTAGATCGCTGGTAGAAGAACGATTAGCATTCTCAAAATTTAAAGAAACTGTCGAATTTCTTTCAGTACAAAAAGGGCCTACTTTAAACTTGGCGTTACTTTTTAGAAGTGAAATTAATACAAATTTAATAGTAAATGATAGTGTCACTTAAGGAAAATATGCTAAAAAAAACTTGCGTTACGATTTTCGGTGTGTAATCTGCAAGTAATAATATATAAGTATATTCTTTTATTTTTTAATTTAAAATTATCTAGGTATTGGCTTCTCTTTTAGATCCAAAATTTCAAAAATTGACAATTGTGTCAAAGTATTTAATATAGCGCTTCAGAATTTATAATAAAACATCTTAAACTTATAGAGAATGATGATAATCAGGTAGTAATTATAGCTAATGAGGATCAAGATGAATTATTAAATTTAAAAAATTGGCAAATAAACATTCAACAAATACAAATTATGATTCCAAGTTAGGTGACTTAGAACAATAATGCCACAGTTTTTTTGGAAAACGGTATTCACAAGATGTGGAGGTTCTAAATTTGGAGAGAAAAGAAGAGTAAACTTCCCAATCTTTCCAGACTCTCCAAAAAATTCTTTGCATTCGGGTAGCACACCTAGTGAAAGAGTTTTCTCTACTGCTGGATTGACGTTAAATTCAAGGGGATTATTATTATCCCGAATATTTAAATAAAATAATTTTTATACATGATAATTGTAAAATTACGAAATTTGGATTTATAATGAGTTTTCTATTATATAAATATTAAAAAATATGCCGAGATATCTGTAGAGTAATGTATATTCGTATTTTTAAAAAATAATAAGCAATTAAAAAAAATTATGTTATAAAAATTTATAACTGCGCCGATTTAAGCCGATTTTGTTGACGGCAGCTAAAAATCGGCTCGCCGCCGGCCGTTAATAGGATTTTTTACGATAGTTTGTCGGCGCACAGGTCTAAGTATTACATTTGGATTTAAGTTTTTCTTTTTATATAATTAGAAAATATATATTTAAAAAAAATACATATTAAACTACCATAAATATCGAATATTTGAAATTTAAAATATGTAGAAAATAATAAGCAATGATTTTTATAAAAATTTAGAGATACTTTTTGTATTTATGTATAAACTGAAATTCATAATGTATCTTTTGAATTTAATATAAAATAGCGACGATAGGAATTAATAAAATATCTAATTTATTACCCTTTTTCTATAAAGATCTACCAGAATTCAGCTGAAATAAGGAATATAATCGCTGCCAAAAAAACATCAATGATAATAATGATATTTATGCAATATGTTCGTATCAATAAGTGCTAATAACCGAAATAGTAGGTATACTTTTATCTTAAAGATATCGATGAAATTAATATGGTGATTAGAATTCCATAGAATCTTTTATACAATAAAAACCGTGTTGACCAGAATTTTATAGAATAGAAAGAAATGAAAGTGATACCTTACAAAATTAGTAATCACTTAAAATATTTCTATTTTATATGTCGTTTTATAGGCTCATAGCTAAGGGAGTGAGGGATATAAAAAATTTGGAGATTGTGAATTGCAAGCATTATTTGAATTCGCTGATATCTATTTTAAAGACCATTTAGGATCAATGGGATAAATTTTAGAATTTTATCTTCAAGTCGTTTCGCTAAGCTCCCTCACTCCCCCTATCCCCCGCCAAAATTCCTGGCTACACGCCTTCCGTTATAATACAAAAATTGACGATAGATTATAGAACAAATTTTACCTTTTTACATAAAAAGATTGTTAATTAAAAGTGTCTATGATGTTTTTCTCTCCATTTATATATAATTTAACGCCCTCCATATCCCATTTTGTCGGGATTTATGTCTATATATTTATATCTTCTACTAATAATAATTATATTACACGTGTATTTGAGAATCCTACTCAAATCCTTTACCCTTATAAAATATTTTAAAAAATACTTAACTACAATTTAAAGGCTTTTTATCCTTTTAGATTTTCTTATCAAAAAAATTAGAAAAAATGATTTTTCTAAGTTTTCTTTCGATTTACTTTAAAATCATTTTCTGTATATTCAAAAACCATTGCAAAAATAAATATATATATTGATTTAGACAACCCTAACGTATCCATTCATTAAGTTTTGTTAAATAAATACAATTATATTTTAAAATATATTGTAACTGTGCTGTAATGGGGATTCCATTAATTATAATTTTATCTAAAAAGGGTTAAAAATCATAATAAATGTCCAGAAGTTTTATATAAATGCTTTACATGAAATATAATGCTTTTTTGTTTCTTTACATAAATTATAATTACGTCCAAAATGTATAATTTTTATTATTCATTTTCAAT